GCACGTAAAAGTTTGATGCGACATGTTACCGGCTATCATCCCCCCTGTCCCCTGAAGAAATGTTTTGTTCTTATTAGCACTACATAATTAGTTCACGGTTTGACCTGTCTTGTGATGGGAACCCAACGGCTTTTAGCTTCTAATAATCCGCAAGCCTTTTCACACACTTTTAATTTATTAGGTGTGGCCGGTATCGATCAGCTGCACGCACGCACGCACCCGGCTGAAAGAGATACATGCTTAGGAGATCATGCTGTACCTAGCCTGATGGGATATGGCACCTCTCTCTATATATGTGGTGCTCTAGCTACTTGGAGACGTTTACACATTCCCTCCTTTCCCTGCCCATGCATGAGCATCCTTGTATTTGAATAATCACAACTGAGATGAGATGTTTCCTTCCCTCCAATCCAGCACTCGGCAATTGGCAAAGGTTGATGTCTGATCCGACCCAGCTAACTGACCGCTCTTCCTGGCGATGCCTGCTACTCCCTCCGTTCCACGGAGGGAGTACGTACTAGCCAACCCTAACGTATCTCGGTTAAGATAGTAACACTCCCAGCTAAAAGTGCCGGTGAATTGCTAACCGAAGTCAGTCAGGTAAAGGTGATCACTGAAAACTAACTGAAATCTTGCAGAAAGCAACACTTGCGAACGAGAGGAAAAATTAGCCGCTACTCTTCGGGCAAAAAGAAAAAAGGTGCTCCAGATTTACTAGCTACGGTATTACTTTTCTTACAAGGATCGATAGATTGGAAACACATTTTGGAACCTCCAACATATATACAAGTCCATTCTGTTGATTCCACCTGGTTTCATTCGTAAAGCTAGCATGTGCTGATTGGAAGGAAGTCCAGCACATGGGAACCGTTTTTCTATTCTATGTGATCAGCAGGCCACTCCGGTCACAACGAGTAAACGGGACCGCGTGATCCCCATGCGACCGCCTGAGCGAGCAACCCGTAGAAGACCCGACAAAGCCGCGAGAGTGAGACCTGAAAAGAATGGTGGTGGTGGCGGTGGTGCGCCGATGACGCCTTCGCGCACCAGGCGGGTCACCGCCTCCGTAGATGGAGTAGTCGAGCTGAGATCATGGGGTTTCCGTAGAACCGAAGCGAGCGAACCGCACCGCATGGAGCGGGGCGGAGGAGGAACGCGTAGCCATCATGATCATGCAGTCGATCGGGGAGAAAGACGGAGGGCGATCGGTGGCCGTGCGCACCCGTCGCCACGGACAAGAATCGGCCGGGCAAAAGAGCGGATGGTTTGGTTTAATATAGTCGAACGGCGCGCCGACAGCGACCGTCGATCCTTTCCTCGGCTGCAGTCGCGGGCTCGTGCTCCACACGATCGAGTAAAAGAAGCAAACGCAACGCCCTGGCTTGGATCGCTTCTTCTTTGGAACTTGTGAACTGGGCGTGTGTAGTGTAACTGGCAAAGGTAAACGTGTGCTGATCACCTGACCAAACGACGAGCTCTTTTGACACGGAGAATATTCACGTGTTTTTCGACAGGACTGCATGTGCGCGCTCGGCCCACGCGTGTTTTTAACTTTGTGTCTGAGAACAGTAGAAGGTGACTCGAGTATATGAGGGTTTTATTGCCTTTATTATCTCACAGTTTCAACTTTCAAGTAGTTTTTTTTTTTTTGAGACAAACTTTCAAGTTTTTTTTTTTTAGACAAACTTTCAAGTAGTAGAAGGAAGGTGACTGAGCAGGCCGCTACCTGAACCAGGTGTTCTGGGCCGTAAAACATGTGCATGAACACCTGACGGCCTTTTTGTTTCTTTGATTTGACTGGTCTCCGTCTGACCAATCGTAATCCAGCCCAACCAACGGCGGGTGGACTGCTGCTACTGGACTCTGAAACTCTGTTATGCACGTGGACGCGCCTTCTTCTGAATCTGCTATGAACAATTCTCATCTCCGACTAACAATAGAAAAGAACCATAGAAAAACAACTAGAGCGTCCGTTAAAAAAAACTAGGCTAAACAGCACGAAGGAGAGCTGGTTAAATCAATTTTAGAAACCATCCAAGCAGTAACAAATTAGCTAATATATAGGTACTACTGAAATTCCGGTTTTTGGAACCTTTTCTGCCTAGCTTTTTTCGGTTTTGTGAACCTTCTAGAAGATTTTAGTTTCGATTATTTTTTTATCTTTGTTATTTTTTTTATTTTCTAATTGAATTTTTCCTGTTTTTTTGGTTGTTTCGTTTCTTGTTTAAAAAAATTGTTCATATTTGAAACATTGCTCAGAATTATAAAAGAAAATGTCAAGAAATTATCAGCGCACAATGGCTCTCCTCGTCATCTACCACGTTGTCCGTAACCTCGTACCACGGTACTGGTACATGCCGTCGTTACTGTCGTCATACCGTGTTTACAGAATGGCATGTTTTACGGTTTTCTACTACAGTTGCTCTAAGGCGCAGATTTTTTTGCTATATAAGATGGTACCACTGCTATATTCTGAGCACAATCGGTAAATGTAATGTCGATTCGGTATTAATTGAAAACCGGACTGAAAAAATGAGAAACCGAAAAATCCAAAAGAAAATAAAATGGAAAAAATGGTTGAGCGTGGTAAATTCTTTCCCCAAAACCGGTGGATAGAACAAAGCAAATAGTGTAGAAACAGACGGATTAACCGGACCATGCGTGTTTGAAAGCTATTATCCCCTTGTTTAAAAAATTGTTCATATTTCAAACATTGCTCGGAATTATAAAAGAAAATGTCAAGAATTTATCAGCGCAAAATGGTTCTCCTTGCGATGACGGGTAGAGCACGATGACGTGTTGCGCGTCCGGGGGCATGGTGTAGGAGGGCATGATCCAGCTGAAGCAGCGCGGGAACTCGGAGATCTAGAACTTGTCGTGCCGGCTGCTATCCTTGAGAGAGAAGGCCACCAGTGAGACGCCCTTGTCCTTGGACACGATGTTTAACCGGCCTGCTCCAGCCCCTCCTTGAGCACCATCACGTTCTCCTGGCAGCTGTCCATGATGTTCATGTACCCCTTCATCGCGTTATTTTTGTGTCGTATTGCGCCAACACAAGATACGGTTAGCGGAGCAACTGTACTTATTGTTGTCATGAGTGAGGAAAACATTATTTTTTTCTATATTTAAAAAAACTCACAAATTTTGAAAATGTTCATGGATTTCAAAAAATGTTTCCAGATTTAAAAAATTGTGCATCAGTTTGGGAAAATGTTGTTAATTTTAAAAAAGATCACAGATTTAAAAAAAGTTCCTACATCTCAAAAAATTATAAAATTAAATATTGTTCAGGAATTTGAAAATGATCCCGAATTTCAAAAGAATCACAAATTCAAAACATGTTCCTGGTTTTCAAAAAAGGTTCCCGAATGCACAAAATGCTCCAGATTTCAAAAAGTGTTCATGAATTCAGAAAAATGTTCAAATTTAAAAAATGTTTGAGATGTCAAAAAAAATCTTCAATTTAGAAAAGTCTCACATTTCAAAAGTTTGCATGAATTTGGAAAATGTTCATGAATTTAAAAAATCACAAAAATTAAACTAAAATAAAAATAAATAAGAAAAGAATATGAGAAACGATAAAACCCGGAAGAAAACAAAAAGAAAAAAGGGTTGAGTGCGGGAAAAAACTTCCCTGTAGAAAACAAAAGCAAATAACGTAGAAACAGACGGATTTACCGGACCATCACCGTGAGCTGTGTTGCGTGTTTGAATGCTATTATCTGACCCGCGCGTGGAATAGGATCCCCCTCACTGAAGCTCAGCTAGCATGTGCACTTTTTCAAGCATGGAGATGTTCTTTGTGTCAGTTGTGAAACAACATTTCAGCCCAAAAGCCGAAAGGTGGCGCACTACCGCGACCTTGGTTCTCCTACCCTAGATGGGTCGCCAATTAGCTAATATAGGTGCTACTAAAAATCCGGTTTTTGGAACCTTTTCTGCCTAGCTTTTTTGGTTTGGTGAACCTTCTAGAAGGTTCTGGTTTAAAAAAAAATCTCTTTGTTGTTTTGTTATTTTCTTCATGAATTTTTCCTTTGTTTTTTCGTTTGTTCTTTTAAAAAAATTGTCATATTTCAAATATTGCTCAGAATTATAAAAGAAAATATTTAGAAAAATTTAAAATACCTAGAAATTTCGAAAATTAAAAAAAAAGGGCAACCTGGTGCATGTAGCTCCCGCTTGCGCAGGGTCCAAGGAAGGGTCCGACCACTTTGGGTCTATAGTACGCAGGCTTTCCCTACATTTCTGTAAGAGGCTGTTTCCAGGACTTGAACCCATGACCTCATGGTCACAAGGCAGCAGCTTTACCACTGCGCCAAGGCTCCCCTTCAGAAATTTCGAAAATTGTTTAGAATTATAAATATTCTTTGCTTTTAGAAAATGATCAGAGTTTCAAAAGATGCTCTTATTTTTTAAAAAAATAAAAGTTTTAAAAATATTTGTGTTTTCAGTAAATGTTCAAAATACACAGGAAGCATCCATAGAGCTCTCCTCTTAGGGTGCCACTGCGATATTCTGAGCACAATCGGTAAATGCAAGGTAGAAACTGAATTTCCGGTTTATACCGAAAGTCCACCCTGAGGTCGTCGCCTCGTACCGCATACTGGTACATGTCACCGTTACTACCACCGTACCGTGTCTGTGAAGGTTAACTGCTCCATCATATCATGGCATTCAACCAGAATCATGGTTCAGAGTGCCCCTAAAAAAGCATCATGGTCCAGAGTTACGACAACGAACCTATGCAGAAACAACGATTTTGATCGAATATCAGGCACCCAAATAAAGACATGATTGCTGCTAGGTACAAATATGCAAGTACAGTACTGTTGTTCAACACATACATGACATAAGTATTACTCGATCGATCTATTGGAGCCAGAACTATTAGTTCCGTCCTCTAAAAAATCATCACGGGCAAGAGAAGTAGCAGCTTAAATTAGGAAATACAACCATAAATATCGAGCGGCAGAGCATGGTGAGAGGCGCATCGCCACCGCTCAGCAGACGCCCTGGGTCTTCTTCCTGGCGGCGACGGCCCTCTTCCAGACGGACACCACCTCGCGCTGCCTGGCCAGGTCCTTCTCGCTCACAGTGTCGCCGTTGGGGTGCTGCAGGGCGGGCCCGCTGCTGCGTGACGGGAGCGCGTCGAGCTCGTGGAGCACCTTCTCGATGTCGATGACGAGGCGCTCGGCGAAGGTGCGGCTGAAGTCCTCGCGGATGACGACGCGGAGCACGGTGACGTGCTGCGCGTCGGGGGGCATGGTGTAGGCGGGCACGATCCAGCCGAAGCGGCGCAGGAACTCGGAGATCTCGAACTCGTCGTGTCGGCTGCTGTCCTTGAGGGAGAAGGCCACTAGCGGGACGCCCTGGTCCTTGGACACGATGTTGAACCGCCCCGTGCGCTCCAGCCCCTCCTTGAGCACCATCGCGTTCTCCTGGCAGTTGTCCATGATGTTCCTGTACCCCTGCATTATTATACCAAATACAGTTAGCACAACAATGATGTTAGGGTGTGTCTAGGTCTCAGTCGATTGAGAGTTTCTCAAGTTTCGATCAAGTGAGATGACATGTAAGAAAGAAAGAAACAAAATAAAAAGAAAATTTTGCATGGATTTCAATGTAATATCTTATGAATATAGCATCAATTAATACATAGCCAAATCTCAGTCAACTAAAATTTAGCAAGAATACTGTTATAAGTGAGAAAAAATCGGACAAAATCGACGAGCTGTACCTCAAAACCAAGGCGGATCAGCTGGTAGTACTGTGCGATAACCTGGCTGGAACCCTTGGAGAAGTTGAGGGTGAAGGTGGGCTGGTCGGCGCCGAGGTAGTTGATGTGGAAGATGAGCTCGTCCGGCAGGTCCTCCTTGCTCCTCCAGATGCACCACCCGATCCCGGCGTACACGAGGCCGTACTTGTGCCCGCTCACGTTGATGCTCTTCACCAGGGGCAGCCGGAAGTCCCACTCCAGCTCAGGGTACAGGAACGGCGCGATGAAGCCGCCGCTCGCCGCGTCCACGTGGATCGGCGTGTCCCAGCTGCACGTTCAACCCCAAAACACCATTACAACATTTTCTGCAGACCTCCATCTAGATGAGTGATATATACAGTGGGAGCTCGGTGGAAGGGTCAAGGATGCTTAGTGAATTCATGCATTACCCTGTCTCCTCGTTCTTCTTGACGAGGAGGTCGTTGAGCATCTTGACGTCCTCGAACTCCCCGTTGAGGGTGGAGCCGAGGATGGCGGCGACGCAGATGGTGTTCTCGTCGACCATCTCAACGGCCTTCTCGGGGTCCATCACGTAGTACCCCTCGCTCAGCTTCACTTCCTTGAGCTCCACCTCGAAGTAGCGCGCGAACTTCTCCCAGCAAACCTGCATCCATTTTACGGTTTTTACCCCATCGAATCAGTCCAGTTAAAAAGTTGACAGTGTAAGCGTTAATGAAGGAAACTGTGATGTGCTTAATTACTTGGACGTTTGCGCCGGTGACGATGTTGGGCTTGTCGCAGGGCTTGCCGGCGGCCTTCATCTTGTTCTGCCACCTCCTCTTGAAGGCCAGCCCGGCGAGCATGATGGCCTCCGAAGAGCCGACGGTGCCCACCCCCACGGCTGTCTCCGTCTCCCCAAGAGGAGCATTGAACAGATGCGCGATCATGTTCACACATCGGTTCTGCAAAACAAAAGTTTAAAAAAGACATGTTATGATCGATCAACTAACCTTGCCATATCTACACCTGATTTATCCCGAAAAGAAAACAAATAACCCCTCCGATCATCACACAGGCGGATGAGCGACGATTAATATGGATCAGAGGAAATAGTAAAGTTTCCTCCATCAACATGGTATATCTAGTTTTGGCGTTTCTACATGTACTCCCTGCTTAGCAATTGGCATCTACTAGCTGATTGTTCTTTGGTACTCCCTTCCGAATCTGAAAGAAGCACGTTATGTGAGGAGAGCTTACGGGATCTTGTTCGCCGCTAAAGTTTGAAGCGTGTGAAGACTGAACTTGCTTTTATTGATTATACTGACATGGTTATGCGCTGATTTTTCTAGCTTACAGTGGTACGTAACAGAAAAATAGAAAATAGTGTATGGGATCATTTGGATGGGTGACTTGAGACGCCTAGCCAAAAAGTTAGCGTTGACCGAGCCATGGGTTATGGGTACCGGTATAGATGGATACGAACTACTATTTGCAAGACGCCGACAGAGAAATCATCCATGAATTATTTGGCAGGCGTACAGGGTTTTGCGTGGCTAGCAGCGGCAGCATCCAAACATCTTGGTTCTCGCATGCATGTGGATTGCTTACTCTATACTGTAAGCGTGCTTCAGTTTTATAATGTTCTACTCCGCAATTTTCTTCTTCTCCTTGTAGCGAAATCTCTGACGATTTATTCTATTAATAGGAACCGAGGGTCCACCCTTGCATTTAAAAGAAAAATCCTTCGCTCCTTGATTTTGCCGGCGAGTCTAGCAGTATAGCAGGCCTGCTTACATGATTAGACCACTGCAGCTCGTAGTAATAGTGCGGCGCTGTGCCGAAAGGGCGCAATCAGATCGAATCATCACTCATTTGCTTTAGCCTTAGAAGTCGGTAAACATTTCCGGTTTACATCCCCTCCAGGCCTAACCTCCTCCACACGGCCACGAGCGCCTAGCTCGGCGGCCTACCAGTACAGCGATAGCACCGAGAAATCGAAATCTCGGGCTGCCTGGGTTTGCGAGTAGAACTCTTCTCCTTGTCCCTCTCGATCGATCGTTGGGCGGCTCGACAAGACGACAGACAACCAGGAACCAGAGCTATCGCCGTGTGCGTGTGTATGTGAACGTGGTTTGCTCGATCGCCTTCCTTGGAGCGTCTCGTTTTCCTATTGTTGCGTCGCGGGTTGGAGGACAGGGACGGGGGCCAGATGCCTTGTTCTGCACAGATGTACACCACGCACGTTCTGCTCCCCGTTTGTTCTCTAGTGCACTGCTCAGGTTCATGCACCAAGAGGATATATAGACGGATGGACAGGGACGCGCCGTTGAGGAGATTTTCGAACGGGGGGAGTACATAGGAATAAAAATCCGGAAACAGCGGGCTCGTAGTACATATAATAATCGTCGCTCGAGCGAGTAGAGGCAAGATACGAACGCGCATCGACCATTTTTTTATCACCATTCCTGGTGGCGGTGCATAGTTTTCAAACTTCTATGCCGGATCAGTGGATGAGCCCAAATGGAGCAGTGGAAGGCCACCGGAAGAAGGAAGGGATCCCGATGGATTGCAAATCAAGGGGACTCGGTCAGAGCAGGTTCGCAAAACCGGGGACCGAAGTAACGCCAAGGTAAGTAGTAAATGGTATGCATACCTGGAGCTCGGTGGTGACGGGGTACTCGTCCATGTCGACGTAGTTCTTGTTGATGGAGTCCATCATGAGCTTGTTGCACTCGGGCTCCATCCACGTGGTGACGAAGGACGCCAGGTTCAGCCGCGGGTTCCCGTCCAGCATCAGCTCGTCGTTGATGATCTGGTACGCCGCCTCCTTCGGGATCGAGTTCTCCGGCATCCGGAACCTGCCCGTCCATCCATCCATCCATCAGTTCAACGAACGACGAAGCCAAATCTAGCATCCAATCATCCATGATCGATCCATCCATGGACGTAGGAGGAAGGGACGTACCTGGGCAGGGAGGCGCGGACGTAGCGGGAGGCGAAGGTGGAGTGCACCGAGTCATCGGACGACCCTGCCGACGCGGCGTGGGAGAGCACCATCCTGATCGCTCGCTCGCCGGCGGGGACGACGGCCGATCCGATCGGGGGACGGCGGTGGTGGTGGTGCTAGAGCTGCCGCTGGTTTGTGCTTGATCAACCCGGGGTCGGGGCCAAGCCGTTACCAAGGAAAGCGGGAGCGTTTCCTATTGTATAGTGGATGGCGTGCGCCGTGCTGGCCGGGGGACAAAAATGGCGGAATGTTTATAATCGAGCCGAGGGGACGGGTGAAGGCGAAGATATTTCACTTTCTTTTAGACGAAGGGAAGGGGAAGCTCCCGTTCAAAAAAAAAAACATGTACATGTGACCGTTCAAAAAAACACATGTATTTTTTTTTACATGTGACGCAGGTGTGCACGTACCGTGCTCCTGTTCGCCACTGGACTTCGTCGTCTAGTTACCGTGGATTCATGGTTTGACGAAGATGTTTCTGTTCCCGTTCCGTCCGGTCACGCTCTTTTCGACACTTGGAGGATTGATGTTGTCTCTTCGGGCCTGCGCGCTCCGGTGTCTGGTATTTGTCCTCCGAAGGTGGAGGTGAAGCTCCCTCTCTGCCGGGCTGGCAAAAGCGGTTGGTCACGAGGCCAGGAAGACTGGTCCTTGTGAACAACGTGATTCGTGCTAGGCCTACGCATCACCAGCTGATCGCAGATGCTCTTAAGTGGGCTTTGAATCGGGTGAACAATGTCTGTCGTGCTTTCTTTTGGGTTGGATCTAGTCACATACATAAAAGTAAATGCTTAGTTGCTTGGCTGAGAGTTTGCCGTCCCTAACAACTCGGAGGGTTTGGAATACTAGACGTCAATAGGCAGGGACTAGCACTTAGATTGTGCTGGGAATGGCTGAAGCGAACAGACCAGGGAAGGCCATGGCAGGGTCTCACGAGGCCAGGAATACTAGACCTCAATAGGCAGGGGCTAGCACTCTGATCCTATCCTTATGAGCATTTTTAAAAGACTCGACCGAAGATTGATGAACTCACCACAAATGTCCCGTTATCAACAAGAACTTTGCTTCCTACTGAAAGAGTATTCCGTATTTATGAAACACCAAAGTGTGTTGCTCTCCTAACCATACTAGTAATTGTGTGCGTGCACGCACGTTGATACTAAACAAAATTCACAAGAGATCTCCGTCTCAGATGACCTTGGTACGAGTGGACGGAGCCTACAAAGCTTTGGGTTGGCATGGGCTACCCTTTGTGATGAGGAAGACCTCAACCTCTTCTATGCTTCAACCACTGTTACCACTAGGAATGGTGCGAAGACGCCATTTTGGGATGCACCTTGGATAAATAACCCTAAACCCAAGGACATTGTCCCGCTAATTTTTTAGGCTTTTTCAAGAAAGAATTGGAAGATCAAGGATGCACTTCTTGACAACGCTTGGGTTTCTAAGGTCAAGTTGACGGCCAACTTCACCTAGGAGCACATCGGACAATTTGTGACCTTGTGGACGACCATCCATGATTTCCACCTTGATGCACATGCCGATGATGAAATTGTTTGGAAGCACACAAGTGATGGTCAACATTCTGTGGCCTCCGCTTATAAGGCCCAATTCATGGGAACATTCTACTCTCCCTTGGAACATGCAATGTGGAAATATTGGGGCCCCTGAAGGTCAAGTTCTTCGCTTGGTTGGCCACTCAAGACAGACTTTGGACGGCAGATAGACTCGCCAAGAGAGGATTGCCAAACTGTGGGCTTTGTCCTCTTTGCAAGCGGGAGCAAGAATCTGGAATGCATCTTTTCTTCAATTGTTGCTTCACCAAGCGCATCTGGAACTTGGTTAGTAATTGGCTTGACCCGGAGAACATAAACACCGATGATTGGCAACTTGAGACCTCCGTCAAGGAGTGGTGGACCAAGTGGTCAGACTCCTCCAACGCGAACTGGAAGGCCATGGCATCCCTGACCATGCTTGTCTGTTGGACCGTCTGTAACGAAAGAAATGCACGGGTCTTCCGCAACAAGAGTGTTCCGCCAAAGATCCTTCTTAACTTCATCAAAGAGGAGGCTCGCCTTTGGGTGACCACGGGTGCAAAATAATTGGGTCACATATTACCGGGAGAGTAATTTCTTTTGTGTGTGAGTGTTGTGACAAACTCCCTATTCCTCTCTTAATTAAAATATGAGGGAAATCTTTTGCCTCCATTTCAATAAAAATATTCGAGAAAATATTAATTGTATTGCCATTAATATTATGCAATATATAAATTGCATGTTAATATTAGGCAGAATGTAATTACTTGATTAATGCTGACATTGATATCAAGCATGATATTAATTAGTGGATCATGCTAAATGTGTTCAGTGCTAAACATATTTAACAGTAAACACTGCATCAATGTATACGTTGGATAAATGTTGTTGAATGGGTGAGATTTATTGAATCTCCGCAACTCGCTCTGTTTATATTGGTATAGATATAGACTTGCTAATAGCACGTGCATTGTAACAGTCAATGCCAATCACGTCTGCCAAAAATCTTACATCCATCATATTGTATATTTTGATAAGAGTTGATTTGATAAGATTATGTGCAGAGAAAGAGAAGGAAAGTTTTGATTTATTTAAGGTTTTTCTAAGATTTGATTTGATTGTGTGTGAGACTATGAGTAAGGGAAGGCAAGGGTAGTTCTGATTTAGTTGAGATTTTGGTAAAATTTGATTTGATTGGGTTAATGTAGGACATGGAGAAGGTGAGGTCGAGGGGAGGGGGGTTGAAAGCACAAACATACATCCCCAACTCCGCTTTAACAGTAGAGACAAACCACTGGACCACACGATTCATTTAGAGAGGCGGCTGGCGACCAGAAAAACCTAGCTTCCACCAATCTTTCCTACCTCTCATCGCCGAGAAAAACCCGCAAGCCACCGACACTAATGCGAGATCCTGTCAAGGGCGGCCCTCTATGGAGGCTTGGATGGCGGCTGTAAGATGAGGAAGAGATTTGTGTTCGAGGAATATGCGCCAGGCGGTGCTCGACAATGACATTGGTGAAGCTGGCAGTGACCAGAGGGATGCAGTGCAGTGATCTTCAATAGCGGCCTGGCCTGGCTAGGTCACCAAAGAAGAGGTCGTTGGTGCACGGTCCTGGACAGCGGTGAGCTCGTAATCATAACGGACCTATCGTGCAACTGCATGGATGATTTTTTCCAGATTTTTGTTAGGGAGTCTTTGTGATTGGTTTAGGGCGTCGAGGCGATGACTCTATCTAAGTGTATGAATAATTTTCTCCCTGCCTTTCCCCATGTCGTTGGTGTGCTTATCACCTACGAAGGGCGTGCAAATTCATGTCTCCCCCATATCTTTTGGGATCCGCTCGGTCTGAGGTTTTTGGTGGATCTGTCTAGATTTGACGATGTTTGTGATCTTCGGAGTTTCTACAGGACCTTACGAACATTCTCCAGGGCGGCGATTTGCTTCGTAGATTGTGGTTGTCAGCGTCTCCAGTCTTCATTGTTGACTTCTCAACCATTGTTTCTATAAGCTCTTGGGTATATAAAAGTCTGCTCAGCCGAGATGGAGGCATAGAGACAGCATCAAGGTATGTTCATCGTGCGCCGTGAATGGATGCATGCGGAAGAAGACTTTGGTAATCCCAATGATTTTAGGGCATCTCCAACACCGAACCTCAAACCATCCTCAAACATCCAGACTACACCGTCCGGATGTATTCTAATGTGATCCTGTATGGGTCAGCATGCCGATCCAAATGTGCTTTTCCTACAATCCGGAGACAAATGAGGGGGGCTTTGCGGGCGTCCGGACCGCTGTTACACCCGCTCTGGACTACCCTGGCCCATTGAAAACCCTCATCCCTCACCCATGTGAGTTCCCACCTAGCGCCAGTTACCCGCATTCATGCCATTGTAGATCGGCCGCTCCACACTGACGCCGGCCCAGAGCAGACGTGACCTTTCATTGGCGCCGACATTGAAGCGGCATGACGGCCGAGAGCGCCGCCTGTGTCGCGTCCCTAGTGTCTGCACCTGTTCAATGGCAGAGTGACATTTATTGTACTGAATGGGACGAATATCTACCACGCCCGTTCAATGCCCGTCCATCTGTATGCCGCCATTAAGCACGCTCACCAGCCAAGGAACCAATGCTGACGCCGCGCATTGATGCACCCGGACGCTTGGCCTCACCGAAATCTCCTATTTAAAAGCGGCCACACCCGGCTAAATGCTACCTCTTTTAGCACTGTGTTGGTTTTCCCCGAAGAGGAAGGGATGATGCAGCAAAGTAGCGTAAGTATTTCCCTCAGTTTTTGAGAACCAAGGTATCAATCCAGTAGGAGGCTACGCGCGAGTCCCTCGTACCTGCACAAAACAAATAAATCCTCGCAACCAACGCAAATAGGGGTTGTCAATCCCTATAGGGCCACTTATGAGAGTGAGATATGATAAGATAATATTTTTGGTATTTTTATGATAAAGATGCAAAGTAAAATAAAAGCAAAGTAAATAGCAAAGTAAATAACTAAGTAGTAGGAGATTGATATGTTGGGGAACGTTGCAGAAAACAAAAAATTTCCTACGGTTTCACCAAGATCCATCTATGAGTTCATCTAGCAACGAGTGATTGGATTGCATCTACATACCTTTGTAGATCATGCGCGGAAGCGTTCAAAAACGTGGATGAGGAAGGCGTACTCGACTGATCCAAATCACCAGAGATCCTAGCGCCGAACGGACGGCACCTCCGCGTTCAACACACGTACGGTCAGCGTAACGTCTCCTCCTTCTTGATCCAGCAAGGGGGAAGGAGAGGTTGAGGAAGATGGCTCCGGCAGCAGCACGACGGCGTGGTGGTGATGAAGCTGCAGTACTCCGACAGGGCTTCGCTAAGCTCTATGGAGGAGGGGGAGGTGTTGGAGAGGGAAAGGGAGGCACCAAAGGCGTGGGGTGAGAAGTCCTCCATCTCCCCACTATATATAGGGGGGCCTAGGGGGGGCACCGGCCCTAGGAGATCCAATCTCCTAGGGGGGCGG